TGCCCATGAAGCAAGTTAGCAGAGCAGCTCTGGGCTGGAGGCTTGCTGGCAGAGTGGAGTGTCTCCTGGCACCTATCAGCAGAGCTAGGTTCACTGACCCACAGAGCTAGAAAGCTGAGCACCTTCAGGGAGAAGTTTATTGTTGGAGTAGGGTGCCCTCAAGTTGGTCCGACTCAAGACTCTATACAGAGTTTCCGGGGAGTGGCTCGTGGGTTTGAACTGCTTATCCTGCAGTGCCAACCAAGACTCCAGGCACTTATTAATGGAGCTAAAGAACAGTTATGGTGTTAAGGGTCAGATTAAGCCCTACCTTTAATCAATGCAATTCTCCCATCTCTGTTAACTGTTTTTCCCCCTCCCCCTCCCACCCCTAGTAATCACTGATAATCTTTGCTTTCTATACATTTGGCTTTTCTTTCTATGTGAGGTCACACAATTATTTGTCTGTTTTGTGATTGGTTTACTTTGCTCAGCACAATGTCTCCAAGTTCCACTCATGCTATATAACATGTATCATAACTTCATTTACTCTATTGGCTGAGTAATAGTTCATCATATGTTTGTACCATATGTGGCATATCCATTTATCTGGTTGGCAGGCATTTAGATTGTTACCTATCTTTTGGCTATAGTGAACCTTGGTGCAATCTGAGTTTCTGCTTTCACATCTTTTGGGATATGCCTAGCAGTGAATTGTTGGGTTATGTTAGCTCTGTTTTTAGTTATTAATGGAACTGCCACAGATTCCTACAATGTCTGGACCATTCTGTATTCCCACCATCAATAGATCAGGCTTCCAATTTCTCCACATCCTCACCAATGTTTTGTTTTGTTCCAATGTCAGACATCCTTGTGGGACTGCAACGGTATCTCATTGTGGGTTTGATTTGCATCTAACAGATAATGAAACTGAGCATCTTCTCCTATGTTTGGCAGCTATTTAAATGTCCTCTTTGGTGAAATGACTGTCCCAGTTCTTTGCCCCTATTACAAATGGGTTATTACTGTCACTGAAGTTTTATATCCATAGATCTGTTATTAAACTCTTGTTGCTATATGGTTTCTGAAAACATTCTCCCAGTTGATAGGTTGCCTTTTCATTTTTTTGGTAGTCTTTCAATGAAGAAAACTTCTTAAATATTTATGAGCTCCCATTCATTTGTCTTTTACTATCTGTGCTTTTATTAGATAAATCCATTGTTGAAAGCAGGCATGACTTGTTTGTGTAAGAACTGTATGATTTCAGCTTGCACATGTTAAGTCCTTCCTTAATCCATTTTGAATTTGTTTTTGTGTATAGAGTGCGGCATGGATCCGGTTTCACTGTTCTGCATGTGGAAATCCAATGTTCACAGCACCATTTATTGAAGAAACTCTTCCTGCGCCATTGAATGGACTTACCACTCTTCTAAAAATCAGTTGATCAGGCATGTTTGGGATCATCCCTGGACTCTCAATTCTAATGCACTGATCTATGTGTCTATTAATAGTTATACTACCACCAGGCTGTTTTGATTACAGCTGGTGTTAAGTGCGGTGAAGTCAGTTCCAAACCATAGTGACCCTGTATAGGGTTTCTGAGGAGCAGTTGGTGGATTTGAACCACTGACTTTATGGATCAATTCGACCTTGCAGTCTATTGCTTTAGTGCCACACCAGGACTGTAGCTGTATAAAAACCAAAACCAAAACCCATGGTCCTTGTGTCAACTGAGACTCACATCAACCCTACATAGGCTTCCAAGACTTAATTTTTTTATGGTATCACACAGTTTCATCTTTCTTCTATAGAGTGGCTTACGGGTTTAAACCACAACCTTGAAGTTAGCAGCCCAACCCCTAAACCAGGGCTCCTTTGTAGTTATCTATATAATACATAGAGATTCAATACAACCCAAGTCGTATTTATAAAAATAGGAAAACCAATCCTTAACTTTACATGGAATGAAAAGAGATCCATAAGAGTTAAAATAACGAAAGAGATTAAAAACCTAAACGTAAAATCTAGAACTACAAAGATCATCGCTGAAAACATAGGGGCAAACTAAGGGGCTCTGATACATGACATAAATATACTACCAAACATAACTGAGAGCACACACACAGGGACCTGCTAAACTCAGACACGTAGGTACACCAAAAGATGTCACCAAAACGGTGGGAGGAAATGTAGGGAATGAATTTTTTAACATGGGACTTCTCTTTAAAATAGAACACTTCACCACCTCAACAAGAAAATAGTCAAATTAAAAAACAGGCAGAGGACATGAACAGACAATACACCAAAGAGGACATGAGGAAATGTACACAATCGTTAGCCATTGTAGAGAGGCCAAGAAAAAAACAATGAAGTATCACCTTACCCCAGGGTTAACAGCAAAGTTAAAAAACAAAAAACAAACAAAAACAGAAAACAACAAATGGTGGCGAGGATATGGAGTCTGAGACCCTCCTGTACTGCTAGTTGGATTGTAAATGGTGCAACCACTGTGAAAACCAGTACGGTACTTTCTCAAAAGTGGAAACTAGAGATACCACCAGACCTGGCAATTCCTCTACTTGATGTACTCCATCAAGAACTAGGAGCTGTGACACACAAGTAGATATATGCACATCCATGGTCACTGCAAGCACTATTCACAATAGAAAAAGAAGACAGCTTAAATGCCCATCACTAGAAGAATGGTTGACCAAACTTTGACACCTACACACAGTGGAATACCTTGCACCATTGAAGAGTAACAGCGAATATGAGAAACACAGATGCACCTGGAGGACAGTGTTGCTGCTGTGTGCTGTCAGGTCAGTCTGACGCATAGTGACCCTGTACAGGGTGTCCAAGGCTGTACATCTCTCTATGCCTAATCAAACAGTCAATCACAAAGGGATAAATATTTTGATGAGACCACTATTGTAAAAAGTCACGAAAAGGTTTTTCATGGTGAAAGAAATATTCTCTGATGGTTACCAAGGCTAGAAGGGAAGTGACAATTACTGACTCACTGGCTAGCGGGTAGACGTGTGTTAACTTGGGTGATGGGGAAGACAATATACAAGAAGAGGAAGGCTGGCGGAAGGATAAAGGCAGCGGCAACACAGGGAGGAGGTAAGAGCTAAAGGAACTAGAGGTAAATACTGTGAATTGATGGCAAGGATTGTAATCATTGAAATGAAACAAAGTACATGATTTGTTAAATGTTAAAACTGATGATCTGCTCTGTAAACCTTCACTCAATTCACAATAAAAAGTTAAAAAAAAAATGCATCGATTCTTCTACTGTCTTCGTTGCTCACTGTTCAATTTTCACATGTTAATGAGGAGACCGAAAATTACTGATGAGATCATTGGCTACAGCCTTCAGTATGGATTGCACCTCAATGTAAAGAAAACAAAAATCCTTACAATTGATCCAATAAATAATATCTTAATTAACGGAGAATAGATGAGAGTTGTCCAAGACTTCATTTTACTTAGATTCATAGTCAGCACTCATAGAAGCAACAGTCAAGAAATCAAACAACATATTCTCTTAGGCAAATCTGCTGCAAAAGACAACTCTAAAGTGTTCTAGAGCAAAGATACCAGTTTGAGGACTAAAGGAGTGTGTGACCCAAGCCATGGTATTTTCAATCACCTCATGTGCATGTGAAAGCCGGACAATGAGTAAGGAAGAACTGATGCATTTGAATTCTGTTGTTGGCAAAGAATGCTGAAGCTACTACCGACTGCCAGAAGACCAACAAATCTGTCTTGGAAGCAGCACAGTCAGGAAAGGATGAAGAGACTCTGTCTCAGGCACTTTGGACATGCAACCATTAGGGACCAGTCCCTAATGGACATCATGCTTGTTAAAGGAGAGGGTCAGCAAAAAAGCAGAAGACTCTCAGTCAGATGGATTGTCACAATGGCTGAAACAAACACAGAAATGACTGTGAGGATGGCATAGGACTGGGCAGTGCTTCATTTCAATGACACCGACCCACTGACACACAATAACATCATCATACTGGACCATGTACTTACTGTGCTTAGTTTTAACCTATTCCCTTACTGGAGTCCTGGTGGTACTGTAGAGTAAGCACTGGACGGCTAACTGAAAACTTGGCAGTTCAAACCCAGGAGCTGCTCAGTGGGAGAAAGATGAGGCTTTCTGCTCCCGAGAAGATTTACATTCTTGGAAATCCAATGCAGCGTTGTGAGTCTAACTCAACTGGATGGCTGTGGGTTTAGTTGTTTGGACTATTCCACGACTAAAATCTAAGTATCACAAAGGCAGGTATCTTCATGTCTTCTTCCATCCACTGTTGTCTCCTCATAAGTGAACCCAAAGAAGCTAAGTATCGTGGAAGAGGACCAGATAAAACATCTCTTGCAGTAGCAGGGGCCTCTTTTTGAGTTTGAGTGAGGCCTTCTCACTGATGGTTCCAAAGTCTTGTATGCATTGGCACCTGCGTACCTCCTTCCTGTCTCATCTTCTACCTCTCTGTTCCTGCTCACATCTTTTTAGCCATACTGTCTTCTTGATTCTTCTATAGAGTGAGATTATCCCACCTTAGGGTCTTTGCTGCAGCTGTCCCTACATTGAGAGTATTTCTTCTCTTGCCTTCACATGGTTGGATCCCTCTTGTCTTCAGATACTACTTAAATATCTTCTTCACTGTGGTCTTCCCTGACACCCAGTCTAATGCACCTATTTAGTCACTTTCTTAATATGCCATTTCACTGTAATTCTCACACAAGAAATGAATTGTCAAGTCTTTGTAGTGACTGTCACCTCCCACCCTACCCGATTCCAAGCATACAAGAGAGTGCTCGAAGTGGAAATTCTACTGTTCTACTCACTGCTGCATCCCCAGTACCTACCACAATGCCTGACAAGCAACAGGTGCACGCTATAACGTACGTAAGCAGCAAGAGCAGCTGGCCGTGGGGCCCTTCCGGAAGCCAAGCCACAAGCAAGAGGAAGGAGTGAGAGTAGGAGTGGGAGTGGAGTGGCTCACCTCTGAATAGTCTCCTCCTGCTCCTTAACCATGTGCGCCAGCTGCTGGAAGATGGAGCCCAGCTCAACAATCGTAGACTCAATGTTCTGCATGGTGTCTGCTCGACTCTGGATGTAAGAGTCCTTCAGGAGAGGGAGAGAGCACAAGAGCACCGTGAGCTTCTCCGGGGAGGGCCTGGGTCTTCAGGACCCACCCAGCTGCCCATTCTGCCCACGGCACACTTCACTCGCTTGTGGCCCATGGAGGCGGAAAGAGGAGCTGCCACCCTCCTCTTAGGGCAGATGAATGGCTCTTCCCAGTTGAGCCTGGGTACCTGCTCGTCAATGAGCTGTAGCTGCTGGGTAGTCCGAGAGTCCATCATGTTGATGGCCACGTCCCCAGAGGCACAGGACTCCGCCCCCAAAACCACAGCACCACCTCCTGAGGAAGAAAGAAGACAGGGTACATCTTAATGGTTAAAAACAGGTTCAAAGCCCAGACTCTCTGGTTTTGAGTCCCAGCTCTGCCACTGACTAGCCTTCTGACCCCGAACAAGTCATTTAACCTTTGCGAGCCTCAGTTTTCTCACCTGTAAAATGGGGATAATAGTTGCTTCCTCAAAGGGTGGTTGTAAAAATCGAATGAGGTGAATAAAGCAAGTGCGTAAAAATTTAATGTTGTTGTTGTTAAGTGCCATCGAGTCGGTTTATAGACATCACCATTTTCCTAAGGAGCTCTGATAGTGTAGTGGTTAAGAGTTGGGCTGTTAACTGGAAAGTCAGCAGTTCAAATCTACCAACCACTCCACAAGAGAAAGTTACGGCTTTCTGTTCTCGTAAAGATTTAGAATTTCGGAAACCCTATACAAGGCCACTATGGGTTGGAACTGACTCAAAAGCACACAATCACCACTACCACCATTTTTCTGGAACAACACTGAATTCCCTCCCAGACGTGACAACATGGGAGACCAAGCGTGGCTCACAAAGCCCAGCAATCTTGTTTAACTCTGAGAGATCAGGCCTACAGAGATGTCTGAGAGACTGAGCAACTTCCTGACCCCTCCATCCTCTTCCCAACACCTGTCTTTAGAGGATGCCCCAAGCAGAATAACGAAGCTTTACCTCCTAAGGGCTCCCCTACTGCCTGAGACTTACCCAGGTGGTTTCGGGCAAGGGGCAGCGCTGACACAGGTGCTCGGGAGAACTGTTCCCGCCGGCTCTTCTGCTGTTTCAGATTCTAGGGTTGGGGAAGAAATGCCAAAGTCCTCAGGCCTCTGGAAAGCCACCTGTTGAAGTGATCCTATTGCCTGAACCCTTCCATTTGCCTATTTCCCTCTTGGGCCTTACCCCCCAATTCCTACCCCTCCTACGATTCTTCTCACCTCTGTCCTTACTTCTAAAACCGATTTGAAGTCATTGGACATGGAGGCCAGTTTGGACTAGACAAAAAAAAGAGAGTTCGGTGAGAGACAAGAACACCTTCCTCCCATCTGCCTCCCTCACTCCTTTCCCAAGGTCTCACCTGCAAGGAGACCACAATGGTGTTGGAATGGGTCTGCAAATGCCGGCCACTCTGGCTGCCCTTGGCTCTCACAAAATCCTGAAGCTGCGCAATTTGTTTGTTGAGACTGTTGATGTCCTGGTGGAAGAGGCAGTAAAAAAACTGAGTCTCTAGCAGAGAGTGCTCAGCCCTAACCTCTGCCCCAAGAGCAGGGCGGGCAGGAGGGGCAGCAAGGAGGCTACTTGCAAGAGTCAAAAGTGTCTCCATCAGATCAGAGGACCTGGCCCATTGGGATTTCCCAACTAGAATGTTCTGGGGTGTACTCGAGCTCAGTTCCTGCACCAGTAAGCCAGAGAGAGGTGAAGTATGGCCTCACTCAATTGTAAATGTGGACTTGATTAGCTCCTTTATCCCGCTGCCCAGCTCCCTGCTGTGAGGCGACGCTCATGGCCACGGAACTTAGAAGGCCAATCTTAGACCCAGAGTACACTGACCAACAAAGAACCTACACCCTACCCAAGGAAAAGGAAAAGTAGCTACTGTTTGCCATCGTTTCCCAGAGACATCAACAAAGGGCTGTTTATAAACAGACAACCTTTAAAAATTATTACTGCAGAAGAGGAAAGCCTGTAACTTGTGCAGTGAGTCAGTACCACAGCTGGGCTTTCTATGCCGGCTCAGTGGACCTGCCACTCCTAATCAGGTCTAAATGTCACTTACGTCACTTCCTCAGACAGGCCACCCTAAATAGAAAGGAGCCCTCACTCCAGGTCACTCAAGTTTGTTTCCCTCTTCCTTGTCTGTATCTGGAACTGTTTCTCTGTTTACTTGTGTAGTACCTACTGCATCTATTTCACCAAATCACAAAGTTCCTCTAGGGTAAGGAACACGTCTATCTGGCTCACTGCGGAATCCCAGCACCAGGAAGCCAAAAGGCACTCAATAATGTGAGTGGCTGGAAAATAAACAAATGAATCCCTATTAAGTCGGCATTGTTAGTATCCTCCTTTTACCAAGACAGGGTCTGGCGCTCGGAGTAGTTAGTTTAGCCAAAGTCACACCTTAGGGGTAGATGTGGGATTTGAACGTAAGTTGGTTGGTTCTTACATGCCTATGCAACAACAACTCAATAGTTCGGGGAAGCCTCTTTTACCAGCTCAGCATGTCTTAAAACGGATCTGCCTTTGGGACTCTGCCATAATCGGCTTTATGCTGGACGATCGCAGAAACCCCTCCCTGGCCTCTCTGTTCCACCCATGTCCCTCTCTTCCAAAACAGGCTTGCTTTGTGACCCATGACATTCAGGGTATGGTACCCATAACATATTCCTTAGTAAAGCCTACAGTGCTCTTCACAACCAGCTTCCAACCTACTTTTCCAGTCTCACGTCCTATCATCCATTCATTCTTTCAAAAAATATTCAGTGCCTTCTATATACTGTTAATGCTAACTGCTATCAGGTAGGTTCCCACTCATAGCAACGCTATGTACAACTGAATGAAACACTGCCTAACCCTGTGCCATCCTCAGAATCGTTGCTCTTTGTTACCACTGTTTCAGCCAGCGTCAGTTCATCTCCTCGAGGGACTTCTTTCCAGTTGAGCTCTATCAAGCATGATGCTCTTCCCCAGGAACTAGTCCTTCCTGATTACACGTCCAAAGCATGTGGCAGGAAGTCTCGCCATCTAAGAAGCATTCTAGTCGTTCTTCTTCCAAGAGGTATTCGTTCGTTCTTCAGGCAGTCAATCAAAATTCTTTGCTAATACTATAATGCAAATGCATGAACTATTCTTTGGTCTTCTTTATTCACTGTCCAGTTTTCATATGTACATGAAGCGATTATACCATGGCTTGGGCAGAGCACACCTTAGTCCTCAAGGTGGTAATTTTGCATTCTAACACTTTAAAGAGGTCTTATGCAGCAGATTTGCCCAACGCCATATAGCATTTGATTTCTTGAGTGCCGCTTCCCTGAGTGTTGTGGATCTAAGAAAAACTTCAGTGTTTTCTCCATTTATCGTGATGTTGTCTACTGGTCTAGTTGTGAGAATTTTTTTTTTCTTCACACTGAGGTCTGAACCACACTAAAGGCTTCACGTCCTCCTCACTTTCAGTGAGCAAGGTTGTGTCATCTGCATCTCGCAGGTTGTTGATGAGTTTCTTCCCATCCTGATGCCACCTTTTTCTTCATAGAACCCAGTTTCTCAGACTATTTGCTCAACACAGATTAAGTAAGTGTGGCGATGCACACCTTCCCTGACTTTAAATCACACAGAAGCCCCTTGTTCCATCTGCACAACTGCATGAACACAGTAAGTATTCCAGAATTACCTACATGTTAAGCCTCGACTATACACTTAGGATAGGTCTGTAAACCAGCAGGGGGAAATTCTGTTCTTATGGTGCTTACATTTTGATTGTCTTTCCTTGGGGGTAGTTGGAATGAGTTGGCGGGAAAAGAGGCAAACAATAAACACAGTAAGTAAGATAATCATAGAGATGTCAGAAATGGAGAAAGAAAATAGTGCAAGGCAAGGAGGTCAGAGTTTGGGGCGCTGAAGTATTTAACAGCATTATCAGGGCAGGCCGTCCTGAGCAGGTGACAACTGAGCAAAGATTGCAAGGCAAGTCTTATTCCTGAACTTTCCCTTTACAAGTCATGCCTCTGCAGAGACTGTTTCCTCACCTGCAATGTCCTCCATTGCTGCTACACAAGACAAGAAAGCAATTCAGATTTCATCTTTGCTACAAAATCCTTCCCAGCAACCCTAAGGAAGTCTCACTGACCTTTTTGAAATATCTTTTCTTGTACTTTGTGCCACCAATACATTGTTAAGTATGAGGTTAGGGGCTGGAGAGTTCATCTGACAGGAAACCTGAAGACAGGGGTCTTGCCTCACGTCTGTGTCACCAGTACCTAGCTCTTTGTACATGACAGGTAATCCAGAAGCATCTACGGGCTCTATGGATGAGTAAGATGCTTGAGGCTGCCTCCAGTCACTTGCTCTGAGCTCCCATGGCAATGGAAAATGAGGGAAGTGATCCGGATGGCTAGCAGCTCACCTGTTTGATGATATACGTTAGCTCTTCAATTTCCACTCCTTTATCATCAAAGAGGGACTTGCGCTTTGCCACTGCAGAGACAAATGAGCAGCCACAAAGGGTGAGGTCCGAAAATGACTCGGGGAGCAGGGCTCCTCAGTCCTTGTTGGTTCACTGCCCCACCTCTGAGAGCCCCCCCAATACTCACAGATTGTCAGCTTCTCCAGCTTGGCAAACGTGTTGCTGAGGTCTTTCCCGATGCGCCTGCAAATGAACATTAAGGAGGATGCTGTGAGACAGGGCAGGAAAGTGCCTCTTCTCCACATAAGCACAGCTGCCAGCGCTTCAAAGGCAAACCCATTTCTCAGACACCACAGCACCCTAGCACACAACTTCTCTCAACTCACTTGGCCATGAGGGTGAATTCGCTACGCTGCCGGGCTGCACGCAGAGCTGGCTTGTTTGCCTGAATTCCATTCTGAAAAACAACGTCAGGAGATGACACCGTTAGTTCTCTCCTCCCCAGTCCCTCATGGTAAGCACTAAACTCTTTCTAGCAATGAAGTCCTTAATCAGGCGATTCAGAGCCCAGATTAAAGAATAGTAGATCTAGATTCAAAGCTTGACTCCGCCACTTAATAGCTGAGAAACTCTGGGCATTCAAGGAACACTTAGCCATTCTGAGCCTCTATCTCCTCTTCTCCAAAATGAGGACCAATAACTCACCTACCTCCTATTGTTGTTGCTAAAATGACATAGAAACCACGAAGTACTTTGGCTAAATACAGGGTATAAAAGAGGTTTTAGAAAAATTCATGGAAAAATCCCATTATCTTTTAATTGCACTTTTCCACTAACTTTTTTTATCTTCCTCAGAAATACTAAATAAATGGTAGTTCGTGCGCTGGAGTCCTGGTGTGGTGCTGCAGGATAATGCACTGAACCACAAGGTTGGCAGTTCAAACTCCCCAGCTGCTCCTAGAAAACCCTACACAGTGTCACTATGAGTTGGAATCAAATCAATTTGACATCACTTACCAACCAAAATAGTGTTACACTATAAGAGGAGCCCTGTACTGCTAATCGCAACATCGGTGGATCAAACCCACCCTAGACAGGATGGCTATAAGCTGGAACTGACTTGACGGCACTTAAAAACAGCATTGCCATCAAGGAGTCCTGGTGGCACGGCAGGTTAAGTGCTGGGCTGCTAACCACAAGGTTGGTGGTTCAAACCTACCAGCCACTCCACGGAGGGGGGAAATGACACTGTCTGCTCCCATGATGATTTACAGCCTCAGACCCGAAGGAGCAGTTGTCCTCTGTCCTATATGGTCTCTGAGTTGGAACCCACTCGATGCTATTCTAGTCTCAAAAGACTCCAACTACACAGACTTTGGAGATTGTATAAAAGAGTAGTCATTAACTAGCGCTGAACATAAAAAGTCTTTAAAAGTACTGAGACCCAGATCCTGCATGGATTTTGAAATCTGAACTGAAACAAAGGAATCTACCTTAAAAACAACTACACTCCAAAGGGATTTTAACAAAAACCAGTGATCTAAAAACTTTTAAAAATAGAAAAACTGAGGTCCACATAGCAACTTGAGTTAGAATTAGCCAAGAGCTAGAATTCATGTCTCCTTGCTGAAGGCTCTTTTTAGAACCCATTTCTTATCCAAATCAGAGCCAGCGCAGCCACCTTGGCCCTGAAGTAGTCCTCCCAGAACACCAACCCTACTCTTAGGGGGCTTCCTCACAAACACTAAGGTACCCAGCTCCAGTTAGTTAACCCCCTCTTCTCTGCTGCTTAGGGGATCCCAGAGCCCCATTCGAGCCCATTGGGACCCCCATCTTCTTCAGTTAACAGTACTAGAGCCCAGTTCCTCCATCTCTGGCCTTTCCTACCCCCAGGTCCTTACCTGACGGCTCTGCAGGGACTTGCAGGCAGACAAGAATTCCTGTGTCCGGTCCCGACAGGACATGGTTTCGGGAGGGGGAGGGACCAGGGCCGCTGGGGGGGGCAGAGGCGCGATGTCGCTGCTGCTGCTACTACCAGCAGTTGCAGGGGGCAGGACTTGTGTCTTCGAGAGACCCAGGTAGACACCCTGATCCGTGTTCTTAGACCCGTAGCGTTTCCGCGGGATCATTGAGACGCATAACCTCGGACTGTTGTAGATAGGAGAATGTCATTCCCCAAGCAGCCTACCCCCTATCAATCCCCCCCAACCAGTCCCTTTCTGCCCGGGGCCCGTATCCTGGGATCGGTACGCAGAGGAAAGGGTCCCACTGCCTCTCCTGGCTCAAGTAGTTCCCTTCTCACACTCTTCTTCCAACTTGGTTCGGGTCACCGGAGCGCGGGACGAGGGCCCAGAGCAGAGCCAGGTCCCGGGTCTCTGGGGCTCTAGCTCACTGAAGCAGCGACCCCTGGCCCTACCTGAGCCCTCGCGTATCCGCGAGCTCCTTAAACTCCTCAAGGGGGAAACGGTGACGGGCTTCGAGAGGGGTACACAAGTCGCTGGGCAGAGGAGGGAACCTTTAGGTGTTTATTTGAAACAGGAAGTCCCACCCCCGACCAAGTTCCGCCTGTTGGAAGACTGCAATCACTGATTAGCTAATACCGACGTCTTTCTCAGTAGGCCCTTTACTGATTGGACGGAGAGGCCCCGAGCCGAGCCGGCAAGACTTGTCGGCTCGTCCCTGTTCCCCTCCCCCGCTCGTCTCCGCCCCCGGAGAGCCAATCTCCCGGAGTTGTCCCAGAGGCCAGACCCCACTCCTCCAGAGAATCCTACCTCTTCACTGCCGCCTGCCGCCGTTGTTAATGCCACAGTCTCCCGAGCCGTCACCGCCTCCTCTCCCACAGCATACGCCGCCGAATCCCGGCCAAAGATTGGAAGCCGCCACGTCACCCACACGTAACCCCACCCCTGGTGACGACAGCTCGGCGCCACGCCTTTGCGAGCTTGATGAACTGTTCGGCCCAAGTGTAAGAGTGCTTTCGCCCTTCCATTGGCTAGGCCGATACCTGACTCCGCCCCTGAGGGGGCTGGCGCTGGAGGCCCGGGACAGGGCCACCCTGATGGGAGGAGTCTTAAAGAGCCCGCAACCCCAGTGAGGCCAGCTCCCAGAGCCCTAAGCGCGGGCCGCCGAGGAACAAGCGCTCGCGCGGGTGCACGTTAGAAATTTTATTCTCTGGAGTCTGGGGCGAAGGGAACGTAGGGCTGCGGTCACCCCTTCTCTGACTCCTCCTGGATCCTCGAGTGGGCGTCCAGGAACGTGCCCCCAACCTTTTGACTCTGGGCTGACAGCCTCTTAGTGGACGGCAAGGAGTCCCGACGGTTGAACAGGGATAGCCGCCGCCACAGCACGGTGATTAGCAGGCTATCATTCGACTTGTGCTTCTGGTAGCTCTGAGTGTCCGTGGCATCGGTCACGGTCACTTCGGTGCCTACGGGGTTGACGAGGCCGCTGAACTCTACTGGACCCACCCCCACCCCTGTCCAACCTGGCCCCCACCGCCGTCCTGCTCGCCCCCCTGCCTTCGGCGACTCGGCCCCCACCTTCCACGGACTCCTTGGCCGTCTCATCGGAGGTCTGAAAGATCTTGTCTTGGCAGCAGCCCATGGCCCCCGCTTTCGGTGCCAGACCCGCCAGCCCGCCCGCGGGCTCTTCGCCCCAGCTTTTGTGACGTCAGAAATCCCACCGCCCAAAAACGCCTCTTTCATTTCTCCCATCACAAAAGGCTTCATATCCAGGTCATGGTGGGCCCTGGGATGTTTATTTACAAAGTGGGAACAGAGTCTTCAGGGACTGGTGGACCGTGGCCGCTTCTTTTTGTGTCTGGTTTGGGGGGTCCCTTGGCTCTGCCGGGAATCGGCAAGCTTCCGCTTGGCAACTGTCTCCAAGGAAGCCCAAAGTTCATCCGTTTCTGTGTCTTCTGGGGACACCTTGTTGGGCTCCTGAGGCTCTTGGGGCTCATCCTGATAAATGGAGGAAAGCTGACAAATCAGGGACCCATAGGAAGGAGGCCCTGGCTGGGAAATCATCCTTCCATGGACCCCACCACGACCTCTATTTCCTGCTCCAGAAAACAACTCAGAGCCCAGCTCTTAGGTACCGGCCACTCAACAATATCCCTGCCAGGATGTAACTACGAACAGAGATGCGATCTGGCAGGCAAATAGGTAGCTAGACTCAAGCATGGCAACAGTTGTGAGGTTGGCCCAGGATCGGCCAGTGTTTCTTTCTGTTGTGCATAAGGCCACTATGGGTCGGTACCGACTCGATGGCACCTAACAACAACAAAAAGTCTGGGCTCTAGCTGCCTTGTTTCTCTCCCAGGAAAGTCCTTACCCGCATGCCCTTGGCTGCCGTATTCCCAGATCCAAGCACTCACCTCCCAGTTGTCCCTGCCGGACAGAAGGAGGCAATTCAGCTGAGACTTGAGATAAACCTGCAAACAGACAGAGGCCTTCTGGTGCCACGGCATGCAAGAACAGCAACAAGGGATGGAAACGCAAATGGGGGCACAGGAGACAGTAGGTCCCCGAGACTGTGAAGGAGGCGGAGGCTCAGAGGGCTGGGCTCTCTCTCACCTTATGTTCCAGGCCCCGTGGGTTCCGGATCCTGTGTACCCTCAAGACTCTGTCCAGACCGCAGGAGGCTAACAGGGGCTTGGAAGGGTGGCACTGCAGCGCCCGGACACTGCCAGCCAGCCCCTTCAGACAGCCCAGGAGGCGCCCTGGGGACAGCAGGGGGATCAGCAGTAGCAAACAGGCTAGCCAATAGCACTTACTGTTTACTGTTCTAATCACTTCAGACTTCACCATTTGATCCTGATTCTAACTCTGAGACAGGAATTACCAGTAATCACTTCCTCTTACAGGGGAGGAAACTCTAGTCCAGAGCTGAAGGAATGGATTTGGACCCAAGCCACCTGGCGGCCCCTAACTAAACTCCCAATCACTCTGCTGCACTGCCTCAGCCTTCCCCCATCCCCAAGAACCCCAGGACACTCACCTTGCCGAAGGTCAATTTCTGCCAGCTGCCCATGAGTGTTCCCCACGATCACCGAACTGAAGAGAGCAGAAGCAGGTACAGTCAGCAGGGGCCTCTGCTCTGGGAGCCCTTCTCCCCACACCCCAGGCACTCACTTCCCCTCAGGAGAGAGGGTCATGGCGGTCAGTGGGTATTCTCCGTAGGTGGCCTCCAGGACAGGTCGGCGCTGGGGGGAGGCTGGGTCATAGACTCGGACCTGGAGGAAGACTGAGGGATCACGAGAGTCCCCTCAGCCCACACACCCTCCTCAGGCTTCTCCCTCTGCATGCTTACGTGCTGCCTGCTTAGGACCCACTCTCCCACTCACTCTCATCAGAGCCTTCTTTGGAAAAACAACTTGAGAAATTTTCTCCCTAAATCCTGAAGAGTTACCTTTGCCCTAGTTTTCTACCCCAGAGGATTTGTTACTTCTGACTCTAAAAACTGAAAACCAACTTGCTGGTTTGGTATTGTCTGGCCCTGAGCTGTAGCCTGTTCTGATTGGTAGGCAGTTGCAAGGACTAATCAAACTATGCAAATGAAGTGACTATGGTCCTTCGAGGGGTCTGGTTAATTTGTGGCCCTGCTGGGAGGGCCATCTCTTAAAATGTATGAGATTTCTTATATAAACAGCAGCCAGCCCCACAGAGGTTTCAGAAAAGAGAAAACAGCGGAGGTGAACTGGAACAGCAGAGCTGGTAGCCATGGGAGAGACCGGCTGCCAGGAATGCAGCTAAGAGAGCGCACTTCTAGCTGGGAGCTGGGTCAGTTAGCAACGGAGAAGCCTGACAGCTAGAAGGCCAAAGGCAGAGTGGCCTGGATGGCTGAGAGGGGGAAATACACAGACGGCTGAGGGCTGTCCTGCCCTGAAGGAGGGATGTGCTGTCCATTTCGAGGCAGCCCTCCAGACTTTTTGAGTACTTGCTTCAAGATCCTGATCCCAAGTTGCAGGCTGTTGATTCCACCACATTTCCACCTTTTGAGACCAAGACAGCTCTGCCTCCTGTACTGCTTGTCTCTTCAGCTTCTGCGTCCTATTTCCTTGGCCTTTCTTTGGGTTTCTTGGACTGATATGGCCTCTGTTGTGCTCAGGTAAGTGTTACAAAGCTCTATAGCTTTCCCAATACAGAAGCAGGTGCAGTCACCCCACTCCCCCCATAAGCCTCAGCCTGCAGGCACTCAATTCTCTTGATCCAGAGTGGGAAAACCTAGTTCTGCCAGTAAATGCCGGAGGTACCCAACTCTGCCAGAAAGCCTCCTTCCCAAAGGCACTCGTCTTTTTTGCTCTGTGGGCCCGCGGCGGGAGGCTCCTGCATATCGGGTGCTGGCCACCTGCTACTTCTGCCCCTCTTGTTTCTCTGCTGCTGCTTCTCTCTGTCTACCTTGTCTTCAGTGTGGCTGACAGTTCTCATTTCCTGTTGAGCTCTCATCAGAATTGCCTTTGTTGTTGTTGTTGTTGTTGTTAACTGCCGTCAAGTCAGTTCCAACCCATAGCGACCCTGTGTAGGATTTCCAAGGAGCAGCTGGTGACCTTGAACCGCCAACCATGTGGTTCACACTGGCATTGCAGTCCAGCACATTAGACCACAGCGCCACACTAGGACTCAGAATTGCCTTGGGCATCCAGAATTCTGTACCAACTGCCTCTTCGAAGCAATCTAGACTTTTACTGTTAGATACTTTCAAACTCTTCCAGCCTCTCCAACACCCACTCTTGATAAAAACACTCAATAAGTAGGCAGACAAGGATGCCCTTTATCACCACTCCTATTCAATATTGTGTTGGAAGTCTTAGCCAGAGCTATATGGCAAGAAAAGGAAATTAAAGGCATCTAAATTGGCAAAGAAAAAGTAAAATTATCTCTATTTACAGACGATATGATCCAATCCGTAGACAATCCCAAAGACTTAGCAAGAATACTATAGGAACTCATTGGAAGATTCAGCGAAGTGGCAGCGTGCAAGATCAATATCCAAAATTAGTTGGATTCCTCTATACTAATAATGACAGCTCTGGAAAGGAAATTAGGAAAACAATACCATTTACAATAGCCACCCAAAGGATGAAATTGTTATTGTTAAGTGCCATTGGGTCAGTTCTGACCCACAGTGACCCTATATCGGGTTTCCAAGGAGCAGCTGGTGAACTTGAACCACAGACCTTGCGGTTCAAACTGACTTTGCATTCCAGTACATTTGCATTAACCTGCAATACTTAGGAATAAATCTAGCCAGAGAAACAAAAGACATACAAAACACAACTACAAGAAACCAAAAGTGATGTACAAAAATGGAAGAATATACTGTGCTCATGGATAGGAAGACTAAACATTGTGAAAATACCAATACTCCCCAAAGCAATCTACAGATATAACATAATCTCAATCCAGATCCCAACAACATTCTTTAGAGAAATGGAAAAGATGATCACAAACTTTATATGGAAAGGAAAGAGAGACCTCAGACAAGCAAAGCACTACATAAGAAGAACAAAGTTGTAGTAAACAAATTTACTGCACAGCCAGTGGTCAAAACAGCCTGGTACTGTTACAATGATAGACACACAGATGAGTGGAATCGAATTGAGAACCAGAAGTAAATCAATCCACATATAATCAAGTGATCTTTGACAAAGGACCAAAGCCCATTATATGAGAAAGAGATGGTCTCTTCAACAAATAGTGCTGGCAAAACTGGAAATCAATTTGCAAAAGAATGAAACAAAACCGGTATCTCACACCATACAAAGTCAACATAGATTAAAGACCTAAATGTAAAACCTAGAACTAAAAAGATCACCAATGAAAAATAGGGACAAACTGAGGAGCTCTAAAGAGTACATGGCATACGTATACTATCAAACATTGCAAAAACCACATAAACAATAGAAAACAAAATAGATGACTGGGACTTCCTAAAAATTAGAAACTAGGCGCATCAGATTTCACCAAAAGAGTAAAACAGGAGCCCACAGACTGGGAAAAGGAGTTTATTTACAACAATGTATCAGGCAAAGGACTAATCTCTAAAATGTATAAAAAACAATACCACCTCTACAAGAAAAAGACCCAAAGTTTTTCCCAAAAAAAAAAAGAAAAGCTGAAGAGGATAGAGAGAAATTCTGTTAACTGACGGTATGTGGAGGGGATTATAATCAATGTAATGAAACAAGGTATATGAATGTTTGAATGTGAAACCGATGATGTGCCCTGAAAACTTTCACTCAATCCACAATAAAAATCTTAAAAAAAAAATGGGCACAGGACATGAACGCGATATCATCTCATACCAGAATTAGCAGCAAAGTTCAAAAACACAGAAAACACATGCTGGCAAATATGTGGAGAGCCTGGGACCCTCCTACATTGCTGGTGTGACTGTAAAATGGTTCAGCCACTCTGGAAAATAGTATGGCGTTTCCTCAGAAAGCTGTAAACAGCTTCATGACCCAGCAGTCCCTCTGCTTGCTAAGAATCCACAAGAAATACGAGCCAGGACATGAGTAGATATATGCACACCGATGTTCATGGTAGCACTATTCATAATAGCAAAAAGATGGAGACAGCCTAAGTGCCCATCAATGGAAGAATAGATAACCAGACTGTGGTACATCCACACAATGGAATACTATGCACTGTTGAAGAATAACAATGAATCTGCAAAACACCTCATAACATGGATGAACCTAGGGGACATTATGCTGAGTAAAACTGTTGTTGTCAAATGCTGTCTAGTCTGTTTCAACTCATAGTGACCCTGTATAGGGCTTCTGAGGAGCAGATGGTAAGCTTGAACTGCTGACTTTGCTGTTCAGACCATCCTTGCAGTTCAGTGCATTAACCCACAGCACCATACCAGGAGTACAATTAGTCAATCACAAAAGGATAAATACTGAATGAAACAGTTTTTGCAAAAGCATAAGAATGGTTTCCAAACTAAAACTTTTCATTGGTGGTTACCAAGGGTGGCTAGAGGATAGACACACTAACCCAGGTGACAAGGTGGGCAATATGCAAGGGAGGGTAAGGACAACACACAAGAGGGAGGGTGGCAGATGAACAATGAAGACAGAGGAAGAAGACTCAGGGAGGTATGCAAGGGCTAAATGGGATAGAGGTAAATAGTGACTTATACACAACCCTTGGGTCACTATAGTGTTCTGTGAGTAGTTACAGGGAGCGAGACAGGTTGAATGGGTAAAGGAAGGAGGGACAGCGTTTATGTTTGACTGCCTTGTGGATACTGGTGTCCCTTGCCTACTCCTATAGCCTAGATATTAATGTGTGATAGAAATGAGTATTGGGAATTACGATGACAGGTTTGTAAACCAGTTTTAGGCCTATAACTCACTGGATTAGCAAATTAGCTAGAAATTGCCCAGGGAAATAAGTTTCTGGTTAAGTCTTTGTAAGAGAATGGAGCCTTGGGTGGACTTCTGAGGACCATCCAAAACCTGCTGAGTTGGGACAAATAGACCAACCCAGAACTGCTGGGAGAACAGAAGTTTCTTATTGAAATAAAGACCTACAGGAAAAAAAAGTGGATTGTTTGAATATCAAGCAAGCTGTTTGCTTTAGAGGCATCAAGGCAAGAAAAGTCAGCCCATCAGGAAAATACCCTTCTAGGACTGAAATATAAAGGGAAACTGTGAGATCACCTGGGTCGACTTGTGAGAGGAACTGGGGGAATGCAGCAATGAAGGCATGGGCTGAGTTTGGCCATGTTCCATTGACATCCATGAGATGAGAGAGAGGAGAGGAAGGGCTGGCTGGTCTGAAGTTTAGGAAGACGTGTGAACTCCTGAGCCAACAAGCACTGACCTAGCCACTGGGGGCTAGAGCTGAGAGTGCAGCGGCCAGCTGGTCTGAAGTGGGGAGGTATGTGTGAACGCTCAAATGTGTAGCTAATATCTATTTGACCTAACATGGATGGTTAGCTGACCAGAATTCTACCAGATGAAAATAAAGATATTTGATACTGTGAGCTAGTGTAAATTGCTACAATTTGATGAACTGGACTTTTGCTTATAGATATAGTTGCTCAAAATTCCAACCAGAACAGGATTCTTCAGATCAAGGAACAAGCTTGTTTTCTCAGTGTAGAGGGTTGATGCTGTTATTAAGTGACGTCAAGTCAGTTCTGACCCATAGTGACCCTGTATAGGGTTTCCGAGGAGCAGCTGGTGAACTTGAACTGTCAACCTTGTGGTTCAAACCAACTTTGCAGTCCGACGCATTAACCCACAGCTAGAGGGGTGGGCAATTTAAACATTGGCTATGAAAGTGGGGGTTGTTGTTGTTGTGAAGTGCCATCGGAGGGCTAGCTTACAAGCTTTCATGAGTGTGCTTAGTTTGAGAATGACGGGTAGAATCCCTACTGAATAGTTTTCCTCTTTTCCACATGGATCTGGTAAAAGGGGATGGGGATGATGGTGATAGGATTTGGTGATTTACTTTTAACTGTTAGCAGGATTCATTGTGATTGTTACAACTGTAATTGTAGCAGTTGTGTAATTAAAAGGAGGGAGTCGTTCATCTTTCATTCCAGGAACAGACCATCCCAGAACCTTCAGGTAGGAGGCGCATGAGTGGAGCGTGAGATCCTACCTAGAAAAGTGGCAACAGCAGAGACGGTGGCAGAGGCGGTGTGGTCTGGAGAGACAGAGCAGCTGCGGGCTCTAGGCCCATGGACCTGAATCAGTCTGCGTGCCTGTGGGCAGGAGGCTGGCTTGCAGAATGTGTTCTTTGGACATTGAAATGAATATCTATTTTTTGTTTTATATGTGTCCATTAAATATTTTTGCTTTGTTGATCTGTGAAATATAAGATGCAAAAGGGAAGCCATAGGGAGGAAGCAGGATAACTATTGTTGCAGGAAGGGGATTGTAATCATTGAGGTGAAACAAACGTCTAATTTGTTGAAGTACAGCTGACTATCTTGTCTGTAAACCTCCACTTAATTCACAATAAAAAAGTTAAAACAAACAAACTCTTCCAGTCTCTGCTCATTACTCAACTCCAAGACTGCTTCTATACTTTAGCTATCTGTTAGAGCAGCACTCCTATTACTTCCTCATAAGCCACTTAACTCTGTATAGATTTAGTCATTTCTGTCGGTATTCCCGTGAATACATGAACCCAAGCAGAGACGTAGAGTGCCAGAGGAGGGGCAGTTGGTATCTAAAGTTGTAAACTAGAAGGAGTTGAAGTATGTCTGACCTCTGCCTCACAGGAGTCAGCTTGGAACTGATGGTCATTCTCCCTCCTCCTCCTGAAGTTCAGAGAGGACTTCAGGCATTACAAGAACATGCTAACATGATGGTGCAAGCTGAGGCCCTGAAAAGTACAAGTTTCAGGGACAGGGTTCAGGACAGAGGTCCCTCAGGTTGGGGGACGGAACAGTACTGCTACAGCCAGGTATAAGCCTTCCCAGCCCCCTCTGCCCATGTAGGCGGAGCAGGAGCATGGAAAAGCAAGTCAGCTGTCGGAAGGTGCTGACTTCCTAACCAAGGAGTTTAGCCTGAATGAGGGAGAGAGGAAGCCCTCGTGAGCAGACGTACATCACAAGATCAGGCTTTAGGGACGCAGCAGTGACGGCAATTGGACACCTACAGGGGCCGAACCCTGTCTGGGTCTTAGAACCTTAAATGAGACAACTATCACGAGCCCCAATCCAGCCCTTTATATACAGCTGAGGCCAGAGAGGAGATGGGAGGATGCAAGCCCCCAAACATTTAAATTAGAGAAAGCACTAGGACCAGAACTCAGTTCTCTCGACTGCCCAGCTCATTTTCCTGTCTCGACAACTGCATCCTATGGGCCCCACTGCAAAGAGGCTACTCCCTTCTCCTCTCGTCTCTTCCAGGCAGGAGGGACAGGATGAGCCATAGATCAGGAAACTTCCTCCCAGAAGGTAGTAAGGGAAGGCTACTTGCTCAATGGCCAAGCTGACAAGGATGGGAAACAGCTCCCGCTTAGAAGAGCTCACAGAAAAGGCTGGTGAGAAGGGTAGCCGTGCCAACTCACGGGGCCCAAGTCTGCACAGGGAAGCTGTTTCTCTATGAAGAAGCTGGGGTGGGGCACCTTACCTGATGGTACCCGGTGCAGGTAACGAGCTTCTGTGAATCAGGGAGGAAATGGATGTCCTGCTCCCAGATGGGAACCCGCAAGTCAAGCCAGTCATTGCGTACCTGGGAGAATGGATAGATGGAGAACAGGGGTGGGGGGCGGGGCCTCAGTGTGTTCAGCCTAAAGCCCATCTGACTCAGTCAGTGGCCTCAGCGCCCCTGGAGCTTAGACCCAGCTCCTCCCCATCTGTCACTCACGTTCTTGGCTCTGAACACAGGTTCCTCAGACCCCTGCAGGTCCCACACCTTCAAGGCATTCTCCTTCCCACCAGTGGCCACCATGTGGGGATGTGCTGGGTCTTGGCGCATCTTACACACTCCAGGGCCCACCCTGAGTTCCAGGAGCTGTGAAGAATTTGAGATGAGAGTCAGTCTTCGAGACCCCAACCTTCCCTCTCCCAAAGCCCTCATTAGACTCCTACCCCAGCCCCCACCTTTCCCAAGGGGGCCTCACTGGGTCAGAGGATGATGCCTCCTTGTCATCGTCACACCAGACTCGGAGAATCCCAGAATCCACACATGTGATGAGGTTGCTGCAGGTAGAGGAAGGACAGGGTTGGGTGAGGCAAAAACTGCTCATGAGCCCAGCTCCTGAGGAAGTTGTTGGGTAAGTGGGGTCAGGTCAGGGCTTGGCAGCTGCCAGTGTCCATTTAATTTCCTCAACAGGGGGAGGATTTTATAAGTAAGGAAACTGAAGCATTGAAAACCTGAAATATTTGCCCACTCAGTTATGGTAGAACCAGAGCTTGAGATCAACTCTGCAGAGAGCTTCTGTATTCCACAGCTATGTCTGGGGGCATCTGGTCCCGCTGATCTTTCTGTATTCCACAGCTATGTCTGGGGGCATCTGGTCCCGCTGATCTTTCTGAATCTTAAGTCAGTTACTAGGGATCAGGATCAGTAGTTCTCCAAAGATCGATATGAGGCTGGTTTGGATTTAGGGTTTGCCAAAGTCGCACAACATGCCAGTTTCTCTTACATTCCATGTTTTGGGTTCCCAGGCACTTAAATCAGTCTCTTCTTCAAAGCATCCCTTCCATGAAGTCCAGGTTCTGTATAGCTCACATCTGCCCACCCTGATTCAGGATCTCATTATCAATTTCCTGGGCTATCTGTCTCCAATCCAACCTTCATACTACTACAGGCTCACAGCTCTGACCAATGACAGTAGTTCCCACTCATAAACCTTCAACATCTCCCCACTATCTATTAAAGCAAAAGTACGCATCCCTCAGCTTGGCACCTACAGTCTTTTGCATCTAATCCTGATGAACCATGATCACCATGTATGAAAATGCTTCCTTAGCTTCATTTCTCAAAGACTATTTATCTTCCCTGAAATGGAAGTAGGTACCGTGTACAAGGCCTAGTGGACCCTGGCTGCTGCATTTTTGTGTCTGGTTTGGGAGACTCGCGACTGTCAGGAATCAGGAAGCTTTCGCTTTGCCTGTGACTAATCTTTGCCTCTCCCCAGTCAGTGTCCTGTTTCTAGAAAGTCTCCTCCATCTGTCAAAATCCTACCTATCCTCAAAAAAAAAAAAAAAAAAATTCCTACCCATCCTTCAATGCCCAGTTCAAATGTCCCATCCTCACAGGACTCACCTGCCAGAAATAACATTAAACCTATGCATCCTAACTTCCTGTCTTGATGCTTAGAGGTCCGGACCAGTAACATAACCACTAACACCTTCTTATCCTTTACTGTGGATGCCTTATCACCCTTGCTGGTGGTCAGTTACCACTAAGAAACACGCTCAAGATTAAATGACTTGTTCAGGATCACCCAGAAGGTTATGGTGGAAGATTGTGTGTCTTCATCTGCAGTCCCTGAGCTTTTGCCCAGTGCCTGGAACTTAGTAGCTAAACTTGTAAAGGAGTAAACGAACAAGGACACTTATCCAGGTCCCTGGCCCTCAGAAGGACCATGTCGCCTAAGGGTGATCGCCGTTATTCGGCCGTGCTAAGGGAGCTTGAATGCTCTCCCAACTAAGCGTTCCGCGAAGGGATCGGTCTTACCCGCCGGCCCGGGCGAGGCCCCGGAACGTGCCCTCCCCACCGGGGCAGTGCCTCTGGCCCTGGAATCGGCCCTCGTTGGTGCTGAAGTGCCTCACCATCCCGTCCGCGCAGCCCAGCAGTATCTGGGGGGCAGAGGAGGACGCGCTAGCGAGGAGAGCGAGCCTGCCGCGTCCCTGGCCCCCCATCTCCGGTCCGGCTCGCGGCCACTCACCTGCGTTTCATCGCTGGAGCCCCAGCACAGGGCGCTCACTGCCTCTTCGCGCCGCGGCTGTCCTGTGGCCGTGAAGTTCGCCGCCTGTTTACGCTGAAGATTCACCCCTGCGAGACGCGGGCGTCAGGTGTCCCGGGGTCGCGAGGAGACAACCATGCATCCCACGACTCTCGGCCCTATCACCTACCTTTCAGGATCCCTGTCTCGGTGCCAACCCACACGTGGTTCCAGCGCGCTCCAGCAGACGCCGCCATGACAGGTCTCAGGAGCCCAAGGCTCGTACTTCCGGCTCAGTGGCTACGTCACCAGGAGGCGCCGCGTCGGGTCCAGACTGTAAGCCGTTTCTGGAATTTAAAGAGCCCCAAGTTTAATGATGTCCGTCCTTCTTTAGCTTGTTTTGTTTTATGAAGATTAAATCAAGAGATACCTGTCGACGGGGAATTGAAGAGTAACTCTCTTTCCACTTGGAGTGCACGTTGTACCTGAACTGCGATGCCTGGTGGAGTCAACCCTAATCTCTCGGCTTGCTCTGAATCTTGCATTTAGGAGAGAAAAGAAGCCACTTCAAAAAGTGTCCAGATCCTTAAGGACGGCCATCTAAGGTGCAAGTAGTGATTGGTCTTTCCCTGTCCGGAGCAAAGAAGAGATGAAAATGGAACAATTAGTCCAGTGGACTAATGGACCACAAAACCCTCAGTCTCCTGGAGACCTGAAACCAGAACTAGATGGGGCCCCCGGATCACATCAGAAGTCCTGGGTAGAGTGGAGAAAATGTGGACAAGAACTCAAAATCATAAAAAAGACAATGCTTGCCGGTCACGTAGAAACCCAGACTGGTGGGCCCTTACTCACTCACAGTTCACGTCCCAAGCAATAGATATGTATATGTTGTTGTTGAGTACCATTGAGTCGGTTCCAACTCATAGCGGCCCTGTATAACGTTTCTGAAGAGCGACGGGTAAGCTTGAACCGCTAGCCTTGGGGTTCAAATCGACTTTGCAGTCCAGCGCATTAATCTGCAGCATCACACCAGGACTCCAGATATGTCTGTTGTTGTTGTTAAGTGCCGTCGAGTCGGTTCCGACCCATAGCGACCCTGTACAGGGTTTCCGAGGGTGTAAATCCTTACGGGAGTAGAAAGCCTCATCTTTCTCCGGCGGAGCGGCTGGTAGATTCGAACCGCTGATCTTAAGGTTCGCAGCCCGATTCGTAACCACTACGCTACCAGAGCTCCATAGATATGTCTGTTGTTGTTGCTATGTGCCGTGGAGTCGGTTCCGACTCATAGCGACCCTGCACGGGGTTTCCGAGGCTGTTAATCTTTACGGGAGCAGAATGCCTCATCTTTCTACCGCGGAGCAGCTGGTAGTTTCAAACTGCTGACCTTGCGGTTCACAGCTCGATTCGTAACCTCTACGCTACCAGAGCTCCTTAGATATGTCTATAGGAGACAACAATATAGCGAGAAACACCATAAAATGGTCAACCATTTGAGATCAAAAGGACAGCATTTACACAAGGGCAAAGTTCAAATGGGCTGGGAAAGAAGGAATGGAAACATGAAACACAGGGAAAAAGTAGGAAAAGTAAGTTACATGGTGGTGGTTATGTGCAGTGGAGTCGGTTCCGACTCGTAAATCTTTACGGGAGCAGAAAGCCTCATCTTTCTCCCGCGGAACAGCTGGTAGTTTCTAACTGCTGACCTTAAGATTCGCTGCCTGATTCGTAACCACTACGCTACCAGAGCTCCTTACTGTTACATGGAGGGGACTGAAATCATTGAGATGAGAGTGTGTATATCTATTGAATGTAAACCTGTAAACCGTCTCTCGGTTAATAATAAACACTAAAGAAGAAGAAGAAAAAAAATCCTTAATGTGGTGCATGGCTTCATCCTTAAGTACAGAAGACATAAAGCAAATGAAGAAAAATTGGGGGGGGGGGGGGGGGGGGGGGGGGGGGGGGGGGGGGGGGGGGGGGGGGGGGGGGGGGGGGGGGGGGGGGGGGGGCACAGGGGGTAACTGATGATCTAAAACAGCTATTTTGGAAAGTGGGTGGAGCAGTGTTTTTATATAGTTGCATTGAAGGTTGGTGATGAAAAAGTAAAAGTTGGCTTAATGGATGGAATAAAAATCTGCGTGAACAGAAATGCATATTTCTCCTGTTAAATGTTAAAAACCTGAGCTATTCATTTGGCTGATCTTGAAAGAATCTGGAGCACTACCTAAGGCTGTTTTTCAAAGCAGAATCAAGTTTATGCTAAGTATCCTACGTAAAATGAGGCCTACCACATTGAAACCCCTACTCAATAGCACACAACCACCGCCACCGCCACCACATTGAAGTTGTCAAGGACTTCATTTTGCTCAGATCAACTATCAACACTCACGGAAGCAGCAGTCAAGAAATCAAACAATATATTGCATTGGGCAAATCTGCTGCACAAAACCTCTTTAAAGTGTTGAAGAACAATGTCAGTTTGAGGACTAAGGTGCACCTGACCCAAGCCATGATGTTTTTCAATAACCTCAAATACATGTGAAAGTTGGACAGTGAATAAGGAAGACCATAGAAGAACTGATGCATTTGAGTTATGGTGTTGGAGGAGAATGTTGAAAGTACCATGCATGGGCTACCAAAAGAACAAATCAATCTTTGTTGGAAGAAGTACAGCCAGAATGCTCCTTGGAGGCCAGGATGGCCAGACTTCGTCTCTCTTACTTTGAACATGTTACCAGAAGGGACTAGTCCCTGGAGAAGGATATCAAGTTTGGTAAAGTGAAGCATCAGAAAAAGAGGAAGACCTCCAGTGAGATGGATTGGCACAGTAGCAGCAGCAATGGGCTCAGGCGTAGTAACAATCGTGAGGTTGGTTCAGAACCCAGCAGTGTTTCGTTCTGTTGTGAATGACTCGATGGCACCTAACAGAAACAACCACAGGAAATAAAACTCTGGAGGCACTAATGAGACTCAAAGGGCCTGCTTTATTATCCGCCTGTCGATTAGACAAGCTCTGGTTCAGCAAACTAAAGTCAACCCAAACAGAAAAGAATACGTCAAAGTACCCAATGAATTAACTTTCTCCACTTTTTAAAATTCCATCCCCCAGATTACAGACTTCTCAGCTAACCAATTGCTTAGAATCTCTTTTAAAGTTTTACTCGCTGTCCATAAAGTCTTTTCTCTCCTTCCAAATGGGGTATTTGGCGCTGGTATGGGCCAGGTTCCTTCTGCTAAAAAAAATTACCCTCTTAATGAACATTTGTTTAGGGGATTCCATTTTTCATTATATTCATGTCAGCCTTCCCAATGATAATATGTTTCTATAAAGGATTATAACCCCCTTTCAGTGATGACTGATTTCTTACTACAAAAGTTTGTTCTTTAAAACAGGCTATAAAGACTTTGCTCTTTGAAATGGTATTAAGAATCAAACCACTTACTATACAGTGTTAAAGAACAATTTTGAATCCGTGAAGCTTCTCACAGCATGGATGGACCTGATGGATATTATGCTGAGTATAATAAGTAGTCAGTCACAAAAGGACTGGTATAAAAAAATCAAGAAAACGTTTTCAAACACAGAAAGGAATATTCTTTGATGGTTACCAGTCGTAGGAGGGAAAAATCACTAACTACTTAGTAGACACATGCTAACTTTGGTGAAGGGAACGACAATCCACGTTATGGGGGGAAGTCAGCATAACATAACCAAGGCAAAGGAAAACACTGAAAGGTCTGAAAGAGTTAACAGGCAATGGTGACAATACTATTAAATATACAATCCTGGTTGTTGTTGTTAATACTGTGGAGTCGGTTCTGACTCAGTGATCCTGTATAGGGTTCCCGAGGCTGTAAATCTTTACGGGAACAGAAAGTTTCATCTTTCTGGTACAACAGTACTAAACAATACTGTACAAGGGTTTACATAGGTGATTATGTGGGAGAACATCACATGCATAAAGGAGTGTAGTGGTTACGAATCAGGCTGTGAACCACAAGGTCAGCAGTTTGAAACTACCAGCTGCTCTGCAGGAGAAAGATAAGGCTTTCTTTTCCCGTAAAGATTTACAGCCTCGGAAACCCTGTACAGGGTCGCTATGCGTCAGAACCGACTCCACGGCACTTAACAACAACAACAACACATCATATGCATATATAGGGTTGGCGGTAGATATTCATACATATATTTGGACATGCTGCAAATATAGCTATATATTGTACATAGGGTTGCTATGAGTTGGTGCCGACTCGATGGCACCTAACAACAACAAAATGTAAGAGTGCACAAAGGGCACATTCATGAAAATCTCAGCTACAACCAAACACCTCCTCAGGACTGAGATGTGGGGTTTGAGGACTGGAGACTACAGTCTTGGAGGACAACCAGGTCCACTGGCATAACACAGTCGATAAAGACAATGTTCTATAGCCTACTTTGGTGAGTAACAGCTGGGATCCTAAAAGCTTGTAAATGACCATCCGAGTTACCTTTCTCTCAGCTGGAGCAAAGAAGACTGAAATCAACAAAAACAACAAAAGACTCAAGGAAACAGTGGGGAAAGCTAATGGACCACATGAAGCACAGGGGGCAGCATTTGCCCAAAAGGAAAGTTAAGAAAGCACCAAAGGACAGGAAAACTAGGCAATGGAAATCAGGAGCCCTACCTGGAAATGTGGAATACGGACACATTCTGGAGCTTGTAACCAATAACACAGAACAATCTGTGTACGAATTGCTGAATGGGAAACGAATTTTCTATCTAAACTTTAAAGTTAAAATATTAAAAGAAAACACAGTTAAAAATCTGTGATGTGACATTTGGCAACGACTATGTTGTACAATATGATTAATGTAATTGATATCACTAAATCATAACAAAAAATGTTGGCTTGACATATGTATTATATATAGTTTTCCAATTTAAAGAAAAGTGTAACATGCCATTCTTCCCTGGAGGATGGAAGTCCTTTTGATACAGTCTTAATTTCCAACTCAGCTGCAGAGCTTCTGATAAGTTTCTAAGCACCACATTGTACACTTTGTCTTGTGTTACAAAGAAGCAACAGCATCCCAGGTCTTCTTTGTCCAGACTAGATGTCAACTAAACTAATCTAAAGTCCCCTTTTCCTAAAATCATCTCTTTGTTTTGATTCCTTTGTTGGGCAGTGTCCCCTCCTTAGGGACATACCAGGGCTTGGGCTGTAGGGTTAAACTCTAAACAAATGAAGTGACCATGTTTTGTCCCTTATGTTGTTGTTAAATACCATCAAGTCAGTTGTGACACACAGCGACCCTGAATAGAGTTCCCGAAGAGCGACTAGTATGT